CACATAATTCTTAGGGTTTCTTCATTTATTTTAAATTCTTTTATCTGATTTTTCCTCAAATAAATTGGTGTCAAGTGCTTTATCTTCAGTATCACTAATTCTGACTTCTATTGCCTCAGTTCTGCTCTTATGACTTTCTATTGAGTTATCTAATTCTGAAATTTTATTGTTCATCTTCTGGATTTCTGATTGCTGTCTATGGATTCTTGCAGCCTGTTAAATTTGTCATTATGCTCTTCTCTAATCTTCTTAAGTTCCTTTACTGCAAGGTCTGCATTTTTGCCAGATCTCCTTCTTGATATCTTGAAGAGTTCTGTATATTAATCTTCTGTATTCTGCCTCCAGTAATTCCAAGAAATTCTCTTCCTCTGGAAAATTCCTTGATTATTTTGGGAGCTTGCTGAAGCCATCATGATCTGCCTGTTTACGTGATTTGATATTCACTGTCGTCTCAGAGCCATCGATAAGTTATTATATTTATTTTATGCTTGCTTACTGTGTCTTAGCTTCTTGTTTTGATACCCCAAATAGGCTGCTAGTGTGAGGCAGTCCCATCACTGACACCCCTGAAGTTCCAACGTCCTGCCACCAGGTGGCCAGACCTGCCACTAAGTATGTGAACCCAGTAGTCTGCCCACTCCTCCTGTATGGATTTAGCTCAGGGGGTCCAGGTGTCGGCTACCAAGTGTGTGGTGCAGGCTTTCGCCTACAGTCCTAGACAGGAATGGGTGGACCCAAAATATTTCTTGCTCTATGTCTTCTCTTTATCTTTTAATATTTACAGGAATTATATACCAACCAAATAGCAAGGCAAATGCATTTCCAGTGCACTCAGATGACACCAAGGATTGATGATCAATCATCCAAAAAGTTCATTATTACTATAATATGACAAGTTCCTTTTATTTTTCTCAGGAGAGGGGAAAAAAAATGACCAAACTCTCCCTCACCTCATATTACTAATAAAATATCTATATATGTTTCTACAGTGGGCAGGGAAATAACTCTATATGCCTAATATTCATGTGCCTGTTGTACTTCCAACCTGGGGTATCTTCTTAATTTCTGTCTGGCTCCTATTACAATAGTAGAAAGAAAAATTATGCTCATACATTTCCTTTTTTCCAATAGCGGAGTGAAGGGGTGAAATTGGAGTGCACAAGTCTAAGAGGGGGGATCATTTCTTTACTTGAAAGGCCTGTATCCATCCATTCAAGAGATCTTAATGAGTACTATTATGAACCACTGTGTGGGTGTTGATACCACGAGAAAGCATTTGGTCATAGCTCTCAAAGAGTTTATAAAACAGGAAAGGAAAAAGGATGCATGCGGCTGCCCATGGGTGTCACAAGCACAAATGTTTAGAAAACCCAAAAATGATAAAATCAAATTGTGGTGCAGCATAAAAAACACAAGACTTGGGGCTAAAAACCATGAGTTCTCATCCTGGTATTTTTATACACTAACTATGTGATCTTAGCCAAGTCATTTAACTTCATTAAATGTCCTCACCTAGAGAAAATAACCTAACGTGTAAGGTTTTTGGGAGAATTAAAAGAGAAAATGCATGTGAAAGCCATTTAGTTAAATGTATGGTGTGATACAAAATAAGTTATTGTGGGGGTGATAAAGGAGTGTTTCATAAGGACAATTGTGATTTGAACTGGTCCTGAGAGAGTAGGGAATAGCATTTACTGAGTGCCTACTGTGTGCCAGGAGCTCCTGTGTAGTACAAACGGTTAACACGCTCGGCTGCTAACCAAAAGGTTGGAGGTTCAAGTCCACCAAGAGGTGCCTCAGAAGAAAGGCCTGGTGATTTATTCCTGAAAACTCAGCCATTGAAAACCCTAAGGAGCATAGTTCTACTGACACACATGGGGTCGCCATGAGTCAGAGTCAACTCCATGACACATGGTTTTTACTGTGTCACCTCAGAATCTATAGCAGAATTTTGAAGGTATTATCCTCATTTTGAGGAGCCCCGGTGGTGCAGTGGTTTAAACATTCGGCTGCTAACCAAAAGGTCTGTGGTTTAAACACACCAACTGCTCCACGGGAGAAAGATGTGGTAGTCTGCTTCCGTAAAGATTTACAGCCTTAGAAACCCTATAGGGCAGTTCTACTCTTCCCTACAGGGTTGCTATGAGTTGGAATTGACTCGATGGCAGTGGGTTTGGTTTGGTATCCTCATTTCACAGATGAAGAAATTAAGACACAGAGATATAATTTGCCCAAACTCAAAAAGCAGCTTTCTCAAATTCTTCATCCTTTCCACTCATAGGAAGTTATGAAATAAGAAGTTATTAAGATCGGCTAGATAGTAGATAAGAATTATCTTAGGTGAAAGAAAGGACAGCACTCACTACAGGGGAAGTCAGCACAACTGGACTAAACCAAATCTAAGAAGGTTCCTGAATACAATCAAACATTTTGAGTGCTAGAGTAGCAGGGGTAGGGGTCTGGGAAACATGCTTTCAGGGGACATGGAGGTCAATTGGCATAACAAAGCTTATTAAGAAAATGTTCTGCATCCTACTTTGGTGAGTGGCGTCTGGGGCCTTCAAAGCTTGCAAGTGGCCATCTAAAATGCATCAATTGGTCCCAACCACCTGGAGTAAAGGAGAATGAAGAACACCAAAGACACAAGGAAAGTAGCCCAAGAGACAGAAAGGGCCACATAAACCAGAGTCTTCATCAGCCTGAGACCAGAAGAACTAGATGGGGTCTGGCTACCACCAATGACCACCCTGACAGGGAACACAACAGAGTCCCTGATGGAGCAGCAGAAAGATGGGGTACAGAACTCAAATTCTAGTAAGAAGACCAGACTTAATGATCTGAGACTGGATGTACCCCGGAAAGCATGGCCCCTGGATTCTCTATCAGCCCAGAACTAAAACAATTTCCGAGGCCAACTCTTCAGACAGGGATTGGACTGGACTGTGGGACATAAGGTGTTACTCGTGAGGAGTGTGCCTCTTAGCTCAAGCAGAGACAAGAGACTAAACGGGCAGCTTCTGTGTGGAGGTGAGATGGGAAGGCAGAGAGGGTTAGGAGCTGGTTGAATGGACATGGGGAATCAGAGGTGGAAAGGAGAAGTGTGCTGTCACAGTATGGGGAGAGCAATTAGAGTCACATAACAATGTATGTAAAAATTTTTGTATGGGAAAAAATAAAATAAGAAGTTGTTAACATTGGAAATAGAATAAAATAGAAAATAAAAAGGTAAGAGATGATCAATAAATTCAGAAGCTGTTTTATTTTTAAAAAATTATTTTGAAATAATTTCAAACAAAAGTTTCAGGAGCAGTACAAAAAACTCCTTAATATTCTTTACCCAGATTCAACAATTGTTAACATTTTGCCACATTTGCTTTATTACCCCTCTGAACCATTTCAGAGTACGTTTCAGACATCATGCCCTTTATTCCTATACTTCAGCTTGTGTTTCCTAAGAATTTACATAACCACAGAACATTCTCAAAATCAGAAAATGCAATGCTATTATCCCAGAGCTGAGCTCCCTGTGCCTGTTTCTGAAGTACTGTACCTTAAGCTGGCAGGTCTTCAGAATATTAACTAGAAGCCTGGTTCACTAAGCTTCTTGCAGTTAAGTAAGGAGCCCGTCTTACTCAACAAAGATTTATAGAGCACCCACCCTGTGCCAAAGATGGTTAGGCACTTGATGATTGATGGAAATCCAAGTGAAGTTCCACATCAAACCTACAGACAACTATACCTGCACCCATCTTTCCTCTTTTCCTTCTTCCAGAAAGCACATCCCTCTTATCAAAGGCTATGGTTCTAAATTGAGCTGCTCTAAATTGAACTGCTGCGATTCCGGTGTTTCCTAGATCTGTTAATGGCATTAACTATCTATTTAACTGTCTAAGCCAGAAAGCTGGAGTCTTCTTGACTCCTTCCTGAACCTAATCTTCTATGTCTGACCATCAAAATTCAGTGGATGCTACATTTGCGTCTGTCCTCTCTTTTGATCTCTACTGCCACCATCCTATTCAATGTCACCATCATCTCTTGCCGGGGATTACTGAAATAGTGTCTAACCAATTTCTTTGCCGCTAGACTTGCTTCCCTCTAATCTGTACTTTACTCTCAGTCAGTATGATCCACTCAAAATGCAAATCTGATAATGGTACTCTCTTGCTTGAAACTTTCCATTTGCGGTTAGGCTCAAGTCCAAACTTTCCCTAACATATTTCTTAGATTTGGCCTCTGCTAACCTCCTTAGCTTAATCTCTTACCACCCCATGCCTGGGGTACTTAGTAGTGCTCAATATATACTTACTAAAAAAATAAATGGTCCTTACAAAATACAAAAAAGAAAAATTGTCTTATTTACTACGTATCCTCAGAACCTAGAACAGTGCTTGGCACACAGTAGGTGTGCAATAAATAAATTGTTAAATGAATGCAAGACTATATACTTCAGTTCTAGTGAGTGAAGAATGGGGGGTAAACAAGCAAAATGGAACCTTTTTTATCCAATAAGTATCTCTTATTTACAACAGTCATACTCTAAAGTTGGGCAAGTTTAAAAACTCACTACCGTGATCTCATAAGAAAAGCATTTTAAATGGAAACAGCACGCTTAGCCAACTTCTTTGAAACTGATCATTTATTATGAATAGAAAAAAATTTTATAAGAAACGAAATACAAATTCATAGCATCTTCATTACCCCTTATTTTAATGATTTTAAACTGTGATGATAAAAAACAATGCATGTATTGAATAAGTGATCAAGAAATGCAATATTACACAGTTGGTCGTTATATAACTAAAACAGATGAAGACAAAATACTTACTTTAAAAATAGGACAACTGCCCCAAAGACAGATTTTTTTTTTAACCTTTAAAGACTAATGTTAAATCCATAGACTAATTAGAGCTTGAAAAATCTAAGAAGTAAAAAAATATTTCAGTTAAGAAGTTGATGAAAACATTACCTTTAGATAATGACATGTATCAAGGATAATCTCCAGATTGCTAGTCTGTATTGTTTATAAATGAGAAACACTAGTTCAATAAAAATACAAATACCTTAAGGAAAAAAAATTGTTTAAGCACTCCATTCAATTAAAACAGGAGATATATACTCACTTCATTGTATTACTGAACTGAAAAAGTATAATAGAGTTGTCTCCTATATAAATAAGAAATATTACATCAAATAAGAGATAATTTCACTTATTATATTTAAAAATCTTGGGGTGAGGAAGACTTTCAAAGTATATCACCAAAGGTGGAAAACATATGGCAAACATAAAAACAAGTATTATACTTAAAATGAAGTTTTAATATATTCACATATATCAAATGGTACAGCTGAGCTTATGATGAAATGCAGTAAGAAGACGATAATCATTCCCATAAAAAATGAACAACGGATGTAGATAAACAAAAAGAACAAAATGGCCAATAAACACATTTTAAAATGTCCAACCTCTTTTCTAATCAAAGAGCTACAAATTAAAAGAAGATGGCATTTTTGCCTACCCAACCAACAAAAAAATTTAAATGCTACAGGCAATATGTATATGTAAATGTACATATTTTAAGTTAGCAATTTTTCTTCTAGGATTTTCCTGTTTCTAGAATTATCAAAAAAATCATGAATGTGCAAAAAGATTTAGTTATATATTCCTCATAACTCTGTTTCTAATATTGCAAAACTGAAAATAACAGGTTGATTAAATTATAGCATATTTAACAATGTAATATTATGTAGTTATTAAAATAACACTAACCCCAAAACAACAAAAAAACTCGTTGCCATCGATTTGGACTCATAGTGACCCTATAGGGCAGAGTAGAACTGCCCCATAGGGTTTCCAAGGAATGGCTGGTGGATTCAAACTGCTTTTGATTAGCAGCCGAGCTCTTAACCACTGCGCCACCAGGGCTCCTGGACAGCGAATAATAACGCTAGAAGAGAATTAATAACATGAAAAAATTTTTGAAATACATTCTCACGTTTAAAAAGCAGCCTATCAGTATAATGTAATCTTTTTTTTTCCCAGCAAATCGTAATTCAATTTCATTTAACATGCTTTCTATAATGAGCATGTATTTCTTTTCTAGTAAGAAATAAATCATTTTCTATAAAGGCTGAAAATTTTATACTATCTATCTCTTTATGTTCCAATTCTATACTACCAAAGCAAACGTCTGATTACCAACCTTTTTTCCTAGGTATTTCGAAAAGAAAAAGGAGGTGCCCTGAACTGGAGAAGTGTAAACTGCGAAGTGCTACCTCCCACTGTAGATTTCTGGTAATACATAAAGCCTAGAAAGAAAATTAGAAGCCATTAAAGGATGGACACAAAGTGGTTGAAAGGTAAAAAAAGGATGCTAGGAACAAAGTATGAAAGGCAGGGATCACCCCAGGGAAATATGGGCAAAGGATGTGGATAAACAATTTACAAAAGAATATACATTAAATAAAAAAGCTTAGCCTCATTTCTAACCAAAGAAATGCAAATTAAAACAAAGGTGTAAAAAAGAACTTATTCTGAAATAAAATATCCCAAAGGGTGTACAGAGTAGATAGTTTTCTACTGTCTGATTCGGCGGTATCAAGATAGAAAAGTTTGAAAATCATTTAGTTAATAAAAAGGAACAATCATTGAATACCCACCAATTTTTAGATAAAGAAAACTAAAAAGTAAGGATTTTTTCTCTCTTTAATGGGAAAATAAATTACACAATATAGTGCTTGGAACTAGAATTGCAACTTCCTTTAATCATTTTTCTCTACTTCCACCCTGAGTATAACCTACTGTAGCATTAGTAAATTCTGAAATACAGGTTTTCCTTTCATTGAATTCATTTGCCATGGTCTGATAAAATAGACAATGGATTGTTCAAATTAGTATGGCCTAAACAGCAAGAATAGCTTCAAAATTAAAATATTGTAAAGCACTGATTAAATAGGCTTATTGTCTCAAAGAACGTACATCCACACATGCTTTACCTTAAAAATAAATTTGTTATTCAACTCTATTCTAGTGCTGAAAATCACTCCAGAATGAAATGAGTTTTGAAATAACTGAAAATACATCTTTTTCTTTCTAGTCTTTTAACACACGTTCACTTACTTAAAAGGTTGGGTTTTACTAAAACATACGTATACTAATGTTTGATTAGACACACAAGAAAAATTGTTTATAATGAACCGTACACTTTAAATGAGTGAACTTTATGGTATATAAATTACATTTCAACAAAGCTGCTAAAATAAAACAGACAAAAACGGTTTAGATAATCAGTTATCTAGTGTTGTGGCTCTTAACTATAGAGTAATGGGATCAGAGGAGAGGAGTGCAATAACAGACTAACGAATCAGGAACTGGGCTAAACTCCCCGCCTATTTTATCTGTCCCTTAGTAACTGAGAAAATGTGGGAGTGTGTGCGCAAGTGCCTGCGTGTGCATCTGTATGTGTATAGGGGTGGGAGGCACTAGGGACAAGGGAGGAAGTGCTAGGGCAGAAGGTCAAGAAGAACCAAATGTCATAGTTAAAGCTCTTTCGAGAATTTCTAGAACATGGAGTAACTTACAGAAGACTTCTGTCAAACACTAATGAAACGAAACATGATAGTCCCCTTCCTTCATCTATTAACAGACCATTTCCAAAATCATAGCAAGAACACAGGAACCTTATTTTAAAAAGGCTTCTCTTCTTGGATTGTAACACTTTTGTGTACAGATGACTTGAATGAAAATTGAAGGCTGTTTTTAGAATCAATAATTTTAAAAACAACTAGGATCTTACTCTATGTAAAAGGAACAATTTTGATAGAAGAGAGTACAAATTAAAAAAAAGACAACACATAGATGATGAGAAAACATTAAATGCTGGTACATTTATTCTTTTATTGCTAAACATCAAATGTCAGCAATTATGTGATCTTCAAGCTAAAGCTTAAGAATGAATTACAGCACGTCAAAAGATTTCTAGAATAAAAATACTTGTGCACCATTAGTATGTGGACATTCAATAAATACCATAGGACAAAATGGTGACTGAGAGCCACATAGCCATGAAGCATACATTTACAATTTACTGTCACAACAGACAGTGACCTGTAAGAACAATTATTAAAAGGTCAAGTTTAACTGTATGTCTTTTCAAACTGAGATGTTGAAAAGAATATATATATGTATTCTTTACAGATTACAGGTGATTTAAAAAAAAATCCCTAAAAAATGTAAACAGTGCAGAGTAGGAACACTGAGAATAAAATTTTACCGTTAAAGTGACAACACAGAAAGAACACTTTCTTCAAATCCTTAAAAGAATTAATTTTTCTAATCATTCCACAGAAACAAAAATGGATTATGTCCATAAAGATGATACTACACTAGGGACACAAAGACCTTCCAAGTTGTTTTTTCATGTTAACACATATTTACAGTAAATACTTAATAATACTTTTTACAGCTTACTTAAATAGAAACATGCTTTTCTACTCCATAAATAACACTAATCACCATCCATTCAACCACATTTATTAAGCACTTAGGATGTCTCATGCACTGTGTGAGGCATGCAAAGATGAATATGACATGGTCCTTGCTCTAGAAGTGCCTACAATCCAGCTGAAGAGACAAACATGTAACATTTCCTTTCTTATCTAATGAGGCTATTTCTATACAAAATGGTACTGATCTGCTCAATTTCCTAGTAAAGTGGTTCCCAAACCCTGATTCTATGGTTCAATAAACCAAGGAGTTCAACAGCTAAAACAAAAAAAGTTTTGTTTTGTTTTCTAACTCAGAAAAAGAAGTTAATGGATAGGATTTCCTCTATTCAATTTTCTCAGTTCTTAAAAAAATGGACCTGCACCTATATTTCATGGTACTTCTCAAACTCTACTATCTGCACAAATCTGAGCATTACGATCTAATAAACGTTGATCCCAAATGACTGTTCTCCTAAGAATAGAACAAATGCCAAATTTTCCTCCTGGGGTCATTTTTCTGGTTTTAGTACTGGTATTAACTGATGACCCCGAGTCATTAATAAAACATTAAAATTATATTCATTATATAACTTGTTTCAGAAGGGAGGCAAATTTGTAATAAAATTTAAAGTTTCTTAAAAATGACTAAAAATTCTAGTGCTCAAACAGCAACTCAATGATCTGAAAAAGGTAACACCATAGAATAGCTCACTTAGTGAAAAATGTGGACACGTGGTTGTGAAATGAGTTGTTGCCTTTCATTGCTTCTTGAGTATATGAGAGAAGCACGTGTTTTTCACCAAAGAAGTGGTATGCTCATACACTTCTAAGATCAATATCTCCATACTGGCGTGTTAACTTCCCAATTTCCCATGGCTGTATCTCCAGTCCAAAAGACCTTGAACCAGGCATCACCCTTTCGGGCTCAAGAGTCCGTTCCCAAGTTCTGGCAAACCCATGTTTGTACTCGTTTGTAGCCATTCTCATTGTACTACAAAGTCTTCAGTGGACTCACACTGAAATCTTAGGGGAAAGATGGAAAACAAGAGCTACGTGATTAATCACCTGACACAGTGAAACACGGGAGCAGCTGGTGAGGACAGAACAGGGCTCAGGGCTTAACGTGGTTGCTTCTTGAAGACAGGAACCCAAGAGCTAGGCCCCATATGGTCTCAGCAGCACAAGAGAAAACAGCTACAATATACCCTGGAAGGGTTCCAAGCTTCGAAGGCCTACAGAGATTGGTAACCAGGACTGCTGAAGAGTCACACTTGTGATCTGTCAGAAGCCCTGGCTCAGTACTGCTGCTCAGCTCTGACTGCCTCACCTCACATGCTGCAGGCGTCAGACACATGCTCGCAGCTCACGCTGAATGTCAAGGCTAGTGACATTATGAAGGTACAGAGACACAAGGAGGCAACTCTTATGTGGCAAAACATGTCTCACGGTATCATAGGTCCTACTTCCTATTTGTTTACTTGGCATCATTTTACAAAGATTTTCCCTTTCACATCAGCAGATTCTTTAATAGAACTTTATTAATTTAAGTGTAGTCAGGCCTCAGTTTTCAGAGTACAAAATAATACACTGATAAATTTTAAAACACTTTTCAAACAGGACAAGAGATACAGGCCTAGAAAACACTTACTCTTCCACTTGGCCAAAGTCTGGTCTCCTTCAAATCTGATTAATGATGCTTTTTCAAGATGTTTTTCCTGATTAATTCCACCCGATTTTATTCTGCTTTACTCTATTTCAACACATTATGTAGTCACATGAAACGGTATTACAGGAATTTTCAGTTGTTTAAAAATTGTTCCATAGCATCCGAAGTGTGTGTGCTTAGACTTTAAAACTAGAATGTTGTCAGGTACTATGCTTTCCATTTTTTTTTGTTTGTCCCCCACCCCAAAGTTTGCATGCTCTGGAGATAGGAGGAGCTCAAAGTTGTTGGCTAAGATGTCATTTTAAGGAAGCACTTTATATTTCACACCAAGTCAGGTTTTGAATGCAAGGGATATTATCACATAGCTGTATACTGTAACTCAGAGATTCTGTTGGAAGAGTGCAAATATTACCGTGCTGTAACCATCCAGAGTCCCAGGGTCACATTGGCAGCCAAAAGCACACTGCCCCCAAGCAAGATGAAAAATCCTATCAGATCTTTGACATCATTGTCTCCAATCACTGAGGTTAGGGTGGCGTCCAGGAAAGAGTTTAAAATCCACTGTCCATCCAAAGCGAAGCAGGGTACTGCATTAACAATAGCCAAAGCTCCGGAGAGTGAAATTAAGTACCTGGTTAAAATCCGTTAAGGAGCAGACTGTGAGGGCTGTGTGGAAACCACATTTCAGTCAGTCAGAAGAAGTTTTAATACTACTGAACTTGACATTACTGTTGATTTCTCTACTTTCTTTAAATCTTTGCCTACCCACAAAGGCTATTCCTTCTTAGATCTCTACTATTTAAAAGAAATGAATTTATATTATGTCAAAGTTCAAAAACCTTGACTAGATAAACAAAAGCCAACCACTTATAAATTAAGCCACTCTATAATGAATTCCCAGGAAGACTAAGTCTATCTAATACTTTAATGATACAAGTAAAAGGAATATGGAAGGAATAAGAAATGAGGGAAAATTACTTTTTGATCCTTCCAAAGTATTATTGTATACTAGGAAACAATTATTTTGACCCTTGAACCCTAATTTATTTTACCATCTTCTTTAAGGTTATAAGCTAAATCTCTCTGAGACAAAGCTGCAAAATCTACAAGGTATACACTTTTTTTTGGTAACTGTTCATTTGTTTTCCAAATTATTGAAGAAAGAAATTAATAGAGCTTTAAAAGCAACAAAATTAAAGAGCCCTTCCACCTTTCAGTTTATTCAAATTCTTCATAATAATCAATTTTTTTTAATTTTATCTTTTATATGCAAATATAATATGCTAAAGACCACATAAGATTTTGTACTTTAAATTTCTAATTTAGTAGTGGACATCAATTTGATCTCCTCTACCCATTCCTCCCTGGGACTGGTGGAATAGATTTCTATAATTCCTGGTTATTCATAGAAGAGTCCTCCATTCAGTCAGAGCTAACGCCAAGAGGGGGCAGAATTCACCACGTCATGAGTAACTGAAGCTTTTATCCTTTATAAACTTACTAAAAAGGTTGCTAACGCCAAGAGGGGGCAGAATTCACCACGTCATGAGTAACTGAAGCTGTTATCCTTTATAAACTTACTAAAAAGGTTTTAGATCTGTAAAGTCAACTCTCGATTTACAGTGTGTGTTCCGTCCCTTATATATCTTAACCTTTCTTCCTCCCTCATCAATCCTTCTTCTCTGATTTCTTCCCTCCTAGGTACAATCTGATCTCTCCCAACTTTTAACGTTGCTTTTTAAGTTGTTAGCAATTAATTGATCCTTGTAAGGTCTTTGTATGATCTGTTCAAGGCAAGACTGCTCAAGCCCAAAGTAACACACTTTAAAAATTTTTTCACACTAGAAAGGATACTTGACAAACGTCTCCACAACCACAGGCAGATCTATGCTTAGAAAGTTGAAACGTGGGATAAAACTGGTGATGCTCACTAAAAGAGAAAAATAAATAATAATGAATGTTATTCATACCAGATAAGCACAGCATTATGAATTTTACCAGTGTTGGGCCAGACTTGGTAACAGATGGTCACAAATTGGGTTAGTCTACTAAACTGTTGAGCAAAGCCCTTCCCAAAGATATGCAGGCAGGCCATATGCCTCACATATTAAAATAAATGATTATTCTAGAACATCCAATACAAAACAGTGCAAGGCAGAAATTCAAGTCCCAGTGTATACTCCTATTTTTGGGTGAGAATAAAATAAAGTTGACTGTATATCAATGGTGGCTACCAAATACAGAGACCAATTTTAAAAATATACTAGAATTTACATCAAAAAGAGTCCTTACCCTTCCAAAGCAGTAAAACCTTAAAACAACATTACCTCTAACTATTATGTCACTTAATCTCTTTCTGGTCTCAGTTTTTTAATTCATTGCTAATACAAAGATTAAGACTAGGAGATTTTTAAGGTCTCTTCCACTTTGTGGATCCCATTGTCCTGTTTTTGTTCAAAACATTTAAAAACTCTGTTATAATTATCAATGGTACACACTTCTTACTTACCCTAATTGGTAATATTTCTTCATTTGTTGAAGATGTATTTAATATTTGCACTCTAGGATCACTTAGTGGCAAACTAATGAATAAGGAGAATGACCCAGGTTGTATCTTGGGATATGATTATAAAGCAATGAGAAAGCCTTTTAAAGAGTAACATAAAACCCAAATGGTTTTATGGATAAATAAAATGTGGTATTATCCATACAATGGAATATTATTTGGCACTAAAAAGAAAGTACTAATACATGCTATAACATGGATGAAACTTGAAAACATTATGCTCAGTGAAAGAAGCCAGTCACAAAAGACTAGATATTGTATGATTCCATTTATATGAAATGTCCAGAATAGGCAAATCTATATATATGAAAAGTAGATTAGTAGTTGTCTAGGGCTAGGGGAGAGTGGGGAAAGACTGTTTAATGGGTACAAGGTTTCTTTTTGTGGTGATGAAAATGTTCTAAAATTGATTGTGGTGATGGTTACACAACTCTGTGAATATACAAAAATCACTGAATTGTATACTTTAAGTGGGCCAATTGCATGGTATGTGAATTATATCTCAATAAAGCTGCTATAAAAAAGGAAATATAAAAAGTCTTGTACAACAAATGAGTTAGACTATATGATCGTCAGCCATATGAAGAAGCTATATACTTAGTCCGGTCATGTTGCCACTGTTAAAAACAATTGTATTGGCCTAGTTTTGAAATTACATTCATGTAAAATTTATGTGTCATTACTTTATGGTCACATCCTGGCTTTCTCTGTGGTATGCTGCTCCCCACAATTTTGGGGAGCTCAGATAAATTTGATCAACTCTCAGTTGATCTCAGTGATTATCCATTTGACACGAACATAAATTGTGGTGAAGGAAAAACGTGTTACTCTCCATAGGCATACGTTGGACTCAGCTGCATCTTGCTTTATAAACTCAGATTTTCTCCTACTGCCTAAATATCACAGAATGCTTAACAAGAAATTAACAAGCCTTTGATAAGTGATCAAAATTTGTAACAAATGAAATCAATGCAAGGATTTCCACTGAGTTACCATCACTGAGAACATAAGTGATCTTAATTCTTTCCTGAGGGTCTACCACAGTAACACCCACCTGTGTAGTGGAGGTGCAGTGGATGTCCTACGTACAACATATCAATTTGAGGCGGGTGCTTTACTTTAATTAAGCGAGTGTGAGTTTCCAAAGAAGGTATTATACAGAAACTTGAACTTGAGCCTTTTTTACAATCTTTATTGGTTCTACAAACTTGAGTGGCTTCAACTGCTTTCCGGGCAGGTAGACAAGTATGCTATAAACAAAATATTAATTAGTCAATATTAAAAATGATTAACAAGAAAAATCCAAGTTATAGTCCTTCAATATCTTTCATGTCATCTAACGTAGTAGGAATGAAATTCTTATGAAAGAAATGTCATTTATGTATGCCTCCTACAAATTAGATTCAAGCATTCCATTTGGCCAAATTAGATATTACCACTATAAATTTTTAAAGATTCTCAGATGAAATGTGACATCTGAAATATAGAGATTTTAATAAAATGACACAAAGTAGATTGAGCAAAAGGGAGGTTTCAATAGATTGCATTTTAATTCTATATGCTTATTTTATTGCATCAGATAAGCAAGACTGCTTCAGGGACAACTTACCAAACGTTTATTAAAATTATTCCTGTAGGCAAAGCACACATCCGTGAGGCTGTGATTGTTACAACATTCCATCGAACCATCTAGCCGTTTGTATGCTGAAGAGAAATATAGTCATTAGAATCTGTTACATAGAACTACATTTGTAATAAAATTTTGTTTTCAAGATTAAAAGAGTAAATAACATAGCATATGAATTTGGGAACAACGGTATAATTCAGAATTCAGTTTGATGGCTACTTGCTGCAGTTTGACGTTACATTAAAAAAAAAAAAAAAAAAGGGAGGAATACATCCAATTTGAAGCCAAGAAGCAATGCTTACCCTAGGTTAGTTGTACCCACCCATAGAGCTGCAGCTCCACGGTCTCAATAGGTTTCACAATAAGAACTCCAGTTGGTCAAGAACAAATATTTAGAGGATGGCTAAGCAACTCATCACTAAGGACATCCTATTGTTTCCAGATACTTATCTCACCCCCAGGCTTACCTTGGCGTTTTCTCCAAAGAACCAGGGCAGCCCTGTTGGACCCCACAGATGTATACTTATTTGTCTGCACAATCCAGTTATCATTTTTGGAAAATAGAAACAGGGCAACTATTTATTTCCATTATTTATTTGTTTCTAAAGTTCTCTGGTGGACTGCTTCACTTGTATCTGGGGCAGAATAAAGAAGTTAAATCATGGATGCAGGTGGGACAAAAAATGATTTCTTCTTTTTGTTTGGAAAGGTTTCCCGCATTCAATGCATCAAACTTGTAAAGTATAAACTGATATGTGACAAGGACCAGTTAAACTTAGAATCTTACATACATACTACCATACTAAGATGTGCTGAAGGAGGCAAACTCAAGAGCAAAGCCATGTCGTTTGCCTAGTACTACAAAAAAGCTCTTCTATTACAAATGTGTCTTCAGGAGGACTTGCATGAAAATGCTAGTTGATATGCAACTTAATTTTACAAGGATTTTGTATTTCAACCAAAGGTTTCTGTTTGCTTGTTTTTCAAAGAGGGTTTTTTTTTTTAACAACTAGATTTGAGGAGGACATTTTGTATTGGTTAAATTGAGTCTCCCTTAATCACACACTGTTGCTATTTTTCTTCAGCCAACACAAAGTGAAGCACTTGGTAACGAGAACAAACAGAGGCAAAGCAAATAAGCGATGCATCAATTCTTCCTCTTGAGTTGGCTGGTTATATGGGTAGTTTTGTTTCACATTATAATTGAATGGGCATTTAATTTGGGGGATAAATAATATTTACAATATTAAAGTGAACTGTGAGCGTCTAATGGCACAGACAAACCTGTGCCTAGAATCACTTGTCAGCTTTGTTATGGATTGAATTATGCCTCCCAAAAAATGTGTTGAAATCTCTGTACCCGTAAATATGACCCTGTGTGGAAATAGGAATTTTCTTTCGTTATGTTAATGAGGTCATGTCAGTGCAGTGTGGATCCTAAATCTAACCACTTTAAAAATTTATTTTATTGTGCTTTAGGTGAAAGTTTACAGAGCAAATTAGTTTCTCATTCAAAAATTTATACACCAATTGTTTTGTGACATTGGTTGCAATCCCTGCAATGTGTCAGCACTCCTCCCCTTTTCCTTTTCCCTCCTAGGTTCTCCATGTCCATTTGTCCAGTTTTCCTGTCCCTTCCTGCCTTCTCATCTTTGCTTTTGAGCAGGTGTTGCCTATTTGGTCTCTTATACTTGATTGAACTAAGAAGCACACTCCTCACATGTGTTACTGTTTGTTTTATAGGCCTGTCTAATCTTTGGCTGAAAGGTGGACTTCAGGAGTGGCTTCAGTTCTGAGTTAGCAGGGTGTCCAGGGGTCATAGTCTCAGGGGCTCCTCTAGTCTCTGTGAGACCAGTAAGTCTGGTCTTTTTTGTGAATTTGAATTTTGTTCTACATTTTTCTCCCACTCTGTCCAGGACTCTCTATTGTGATCCCTGTCAGAGCAGTCGGTGGTAGTAGCCGGGCACCGTCTAGTTCTTCTGGGCTCAGGCTGGTGGAAGCTGTGGTTCATGTGGTCCATTAGTCTTTTGGACTAATATTTTCCTTTCGTCTTTGGTTTTCTTCATTGTCCTTTGCTCTGGATGGGACAGGACCAATAGATGTATCTTAGATGGCTGCTCGCAAGCTTTTAGGATCCCAGACGATACTCACCAAAGTAGGATGTAGAACATTTTCTTTATGACTATGCTATGCGACTTGACCTAGATGTCCCCCAAGACCATGGTCCCCATCTCTCAGCCCCAGTAACTTGCTCCCTCCTGGTGTATGGATGTGTCTAGGAAGCTTCTATGACTGTGCCCCCTTTGTGCTCTATTATATATATGAATAGACATGCTGTACATACAAATATGTATGTAAAAATATCAACAGCCTAATCTATATATGTACGTGGGTATACTCCTATATGCCCTCCTTCCCCTATTCAGCATATACATATCTGCCTATGTATCTGCTCATAAGTTATTATTTTCTTTTACTGTTGGTGTAGGATTGTATATGCTATAGTATTTACTGTGGTTGCCTCTTTTTTTTCTTGTGTTTCTCTAAGTGTTTTCCTTTGCCTTGGTCAAGTTGTGCTGACTTCCCCCATATTTTGTACTGTCTTTCCTTTCACCAAAGTTAACACTACTCTACTATCTAGTTAGTGACTTCCCCTCCCCACCCTTCCTCTCCCTCGTAACCATCAAAGATGGTTTGTGTGCAAACCTTTTCTTGAGTTTTGATAATAGTGGTCTCATACAGTATTTGTCGTTTTGTGATTGACTTATTTCACTCAGCATAATGTCCTCCAGATTCATCCATGATGTGAGATGTTTCGTGGATTCATCATTGTTATGACTGCACAGTATTCCATTGTGTGTATGTACCATAATTTGTTTACCCATTCATCTGTTGATGGGTGCTTAGGTTGCTTCCATCTTTTTGCTATTGTGAATAATGCTGCAATGGACATGGGTACGCATGTCTATTCATGTGATGGCTCTTATTTCTCTAGGATATATTCCTAGAAGTGGGATTGCTGGATCATATGGTATTTCTATTTCTAGCTTTTTAAGGAAGTGCCATATCGCTTTCCATAGTGGTTGTATCATTTTACATTCCCACCAGCAGTGTATGAGAGTTCCAATCTCCCCACAACCTTGCCGGCATTTATTGTTTTCTCAATTTGTTATCAATGCCATTCTTGCAGGAATGAGATGGCATCTCCTCATGGTTTTGATTTGCATCTCTCTCATGGCTAATGATTGCGAGCATCTTTTCATATATTTGTTGGCCGCCTGAATGTCATCTTTGGTGAAGTGTCTGTTCATGTCCTTTGCCCATTTTGTGATTGGGTTGTCTTTTTATTGTTGAGTTGTTGAAGTTTTCTGTATATTTTAGAGATTAAACCTTTATTAGATATGCCATTGCCAAAGATTTTTTCCTAGCCCATAGGTTCTCTTTTTACTCTCTTGGAAAAGTCTTTGATGAGCATAAGTATTTAATTTTTAGGAGGTCCCAGTGATCTAGTTTATTTTCTGGAGTTCATACATTTTTAGTTATGCTTGAAATTCTATTTATGCCATAAATCAGGCCCCCTAGCATTGTCCCTATTTTTTTTTTTCATGAACTTTATAGTTTTAGGTTTTACATCTAGGTCTTTGATCCATTTTGAGTTAGTTTTTTGTATGGGGTGAAGTATGGATCCTGTTTAATTTTTTTGCAAATGGATATCCAGTTTTGCCAGCACCATTTATTGAAGAGACTATCTCTTCCCCACTTAATGCACTTCTACCCTTTGTTGAAGATCAGGTGTCCATAGGTGGATGGATTTATTTCTGCGTTCTCAATTCTGTTCCATTGGTCTATACATCTGTCATACCAGTACCAGACCATTTTGACTACTGAGGCTGTATAGTAGGTTCTGAGATCAGGTAGTGTTCTTCTTTTTCCATAATGTTTTACTTATGCCAGGGCACTTTCCTTTCCATATAAAGTTGGTGATTATCTTTTCCATCTTATTAAAGAATGCTGTTGGATTTGGATTGGGATTGCATTGTATCTATAGACTGCTTTGGGTAGTACTGACATTTTCACAATGTAAAGTCTTCCTATCCATGAGCATGGTATGTTTTTCTATATATGAAGGTCTCTTTAGGTTTTTTGCAGTAGTGTTTTGCAGTTTTCTTTGTCTTTCATGTCCCTAGTTAGGTTTATTCCTAAGTATTTTATTTTCTGGGGGGGCTACTGTAAATGGTATTGTTTTCCTGATTTCCTTTTCAGATTTCTCTTTGTTATTATTGAGTTATAACAAGACCAGAATAGACACACAGATACACAGAGGGAAGACAAGACTCTATGTGACAACAGAGGCAGATGAATCTACAAGTCCAGGAACTCCAAGAATTTCTGGCAGCTACTAGAAGCTGAAATAGATAAGGAAGGACCTCCTCCTACAGCCATGTTCCAAATTCGAACTTCTAGCTTACTGAACTGTGAGAAAATAAATTTCTGTTCTTCAAAGCCATCCACTTGTGGTATTTCTGTTATGGCTTAGGTAACTAAAACAAGCTCTAGTGGTAAAGTATAAGGTAGGATTTTTAAATCAACCCAGGCTAAAACCCTCAGTGTTCTCTTTAATTACCTGCCAAGTCTCTCCAATTTTTACCTCCTCATTATTTTTCTCCTTATCTATTCTCTCTGTTCCCACTTGGGTGCAGACTCTAATTCCTTCTCAGCTGACCCAACTGAACAGACTCCTAACAAGTTGGTTTGTTCACCACCTCACTATTATATGTCAACTTGTCCAACATACTGCTTCAGATTAATCTTCTAATGTGTAGCTCTGAACATGCAACTTCTCTAACTCAAAATTTTCCAAAGACTCTGCACTACTCCCAAATAAAGTCTAAACTCCATAGCTTAAAACTTGAAGATCACCACTTTCTTATCCCATTATCATTACCTCATTCTACTCTCTTGCTAAACTGAATTACTAGCAGTTCCCTGACCACTTTCTACTGTACGGTGCAGACATTCATTTCCATCTCGGTGTCCTGAAATTAAACTCACTGTTAAGGCCCAGCTTGAGCACTGC